CCTCGGCATCTTCTGCTTGGAACCAGCTCCTCCTCCAGGACCGGCCCTCCCGGTTACAGAGTCGCCATCCTCCCAGCCCCTGCCACCCAGACTGTCCCCAAGTTCCAAATCCCAGAGTCAACCTGGATCTCCAGCATCGCCACGGCAAGTCAGTCACAGAATGTTGTCCCCAGACTGTCCCATCCCCCTTTGCCCACTGGCACTGACCCCTGGACCTTGCCACAACCTCCTAGATGACCTCTCTGCAATTGTGCCAGGCATTGTTCTAGGTACTTCACATATATTAACTCCTCTACTCGTCCCAACAACTCCCATTTTACAGATTTGGGAACTGAAGCACCAGAGGGTTAAGTTACCTGTCTAAGGTGATACAGCTGGCACGTGGCAAGGAGTGAAGCTGGGATTTCAATCAGGCACAGTCTGGGTCCCGAGCCCACGCTCGTACCCACTGTGCTACCTGGCCTTTCGAGCCCCTCAATCTCAATGCAGCTCGAAAGCTGCTGCTGGGACTGTCTGACCTGGCAGTGCCCACTCTAAAAGTGTACACTTAGGACAGATGTCCCCATGGGAAACCCTGGAACTGAGACCTGGCTCTTCCCAGCTACTGACCCCCTTGCTCCTTACATGCCGGCCACACTAGCCTGCATCAGGATCCTGGGATGTGGCAAGCTCTCTCCCATCTCAGCCTCACCCTGCCATCCTCAAATGGCGGCCTCATTTTTGCATTTTCTTTTGAATACAGGACCTGTTCATCACTTCCACAGAGCCGTCTCAATCTGTGATCATACATTTACTTAACTTACCTGTTAGTGGCCCACTCCTCTATCCTCTCCCTCCCCCGAAACTGGGAGCCCCCCAAAACAGAGGCCAAGTCTAGCTTTTGCTCACTATCACATCCCCGTTCTTAGCACTGTGCCTGGCATACAGCAGGTGCTCAACAAAGAGTTAAACGAATGAATAGATCTTCATCAAATCGATTTTTGTTGAATGGGTTTCATGAATGAATTTAAAAATCAGAAGATAAGATTAGATGCACGCAGCACGTGCTATGGCTACAATCATGCGAACGCCAAGTGCCCACATACAGAAGGCTGGAAGGAAAGTGGAAACTGAACACTCCTGGTTGTCTGCTATCTCTTTTTAAGGTGTATGGCGATAACAGATAAATTTCTTCCCTACTGTGATTGCCCACGGTATTTGGAAACAGTCAAGAATCCTTTCACAATGCTCTGAGGCCAATCCCAGGCAGGAATCCGTGGTTTCTCCTTGGTCCACAGACACTCTGGAGTGAATGAGTCCCACAGCCTAGATGGGGTACAGCCTCCTTCCTCTGGCCAAAGCAGCCAGACCTGGCTTTCTTATCTTGAAAAACAGTGCCATCATAGAAGTGACAAACTGCTTTGAATATTTCAGGACATACACTCCTCAGAAGGTCGTTCGAGCGACCCCCTGGAGCCCGGCGGCATGAGTTAGAGCTCACGTATTCAATGGCTACCAGCAGGGCTGACAGGCAGCTCTCATTCACTGAGCACCTACTACACGGCAAGCATGTGCTGTGTGCTGTGCATACGTGATCTCATTCGACCTTCTCAACAGTTCTCCTTGGAAAGTCTTTTAGGCCCATTTTAAAGGTAAGGCCACTGAGCCTCACAGGCATTACGACTCTGGAAGGTCACACGGCTGATTACTTCCACCTTCACCAGGAGATGCAAAATCAATGTCAGTCAACAAGGCCACGCTGGCAGCACGTGGAGGCACACAGGCCTCATCTACAGGGGCTGCCTCAGCCCCCAGCTCCAGCCCAAAGCAGCAGCCAGGGCTGGGGAGGCACTTGGTTTGCAAACGGTGGCAACCAATTCAATTAGGAAGAGTAATGCAAAATCCTTATCTGTCAAAGAGAAGTATTTACAGATGCAATAATATGATGTCTTCCTTTTGCTTTAACACACTGAGTGGGTGAGTGGAGTGTTTTTAAAAGTGAGATGTGGGACAGATGAAATAAAATTTAGCAAAATGGTATTATAATAACCGTTGAAGCTGAGGGCTGGGTGTATGGAGATTCATGATTAGTCTCTCTAAAAATCTAATCTGCTTTATCTCGTCCTCCCTCCCTTCCCTTCTTCTTTCTTCCCTCCCTGCCCTCCTCCCCACCCCCTCCCCAGCAGACACAGCCCACATGGCTGCCAGTTTGTGATTTCTACCCATGCTACTCTCCTCTCCAGCGAAAAACAAAACAGGCTTTGCTTTAAGCATGGTCAGTTTACCTCTTTCCGAAGTGGCAACCACATTTTGATGCTCCTTATCACAAGTCCCTTCTGTGCCAGAGCTTGCCTGTCACACCCTGCCCTGCCCAGAGACCTACTACTGGGCTGCAAACACTTGAGATGTCCTCTGGGTAACACTCTTTATAGCTGTGGTTTCTTATCAAAGTGTGATGAGGTCAGTAAATACATTCTATGTCACCTCTTGCACACGGCATTCCTTTAAGCCTATCAGACACACCAAGTTAGATAAAGGGAACTAATCCTAACTACTTCTCCCTGAGTCAGCTTCTTCAAGCTCAGCAGGGAGACAAAAACATGCCCAGCTCCAATCATTCAGCGGGTATATATTTGGTATACACAGAAGGCCTTTTGTCCAGTGCAGGTATGATAATTTTTTTCCCTCAATGACAGGTGAGAGTGTCCAGCATTTACAATTGAAAAAAAAAAAAAAAGTCAACCAACAACACATACATATCTTATTCTAGTACCATATGCTTTTAAAATCCCTAATTCCTAATATTTTCTGAATGTCACCCTCTTTAGCAAAAGACATAATTTTCAATCAGGCTGGGTAAAGACAGACAGCCATTACTTTCTTAATGGCCAACTACCTAAAAGGGCTCAGTTAAGTGATCTCAACTAGCAATCTAATCAATTAAAATTGATAAGTGAAATACTTTTAACCTTTATTTCAGTGGGCCATTCTTAGGGGGAGGGGAAGGAATGTGAATTCCCAGCATGAAATTTAATTCCATTTCACGGATGCAAACATTCTTGCTGTCCTGATGGAGTAGCCCCCTTTAAAGCCAGCTGTTTCCCTTTCTCTCCTTGAATCAAATCACAGAAAGACTGGTTTATGATTCTCTCCAGCCAACTCGATCAATTTAAACCCTTACAGAAATCCCTGTGGCCATTTCTCAAGGGTGAAAGGGCTAAAGGTAATAGGCATGAAACAGAGACGGGACATAACTCTTTGTTCTTCCAAGAAAGGGAAAGATGAAAGAGCATGAACAGGAAGGCGGCCACAGAAAGAAAGCAGACAACCAGGTAACACCCACAATACTCATTAACTGAGAACCATCTACATGTCAGGCAGTGTGCTGCGCTCTTTTTACATATCGCCTTTCGATGAGCAGGTGATAGATACTGCTTACAGCTTGCTGAGTACAGTCATATGCTAGGCATTGTGCTTGGTCACATGGTATCTCACATGATATTTCATTCAATCCTCAGAACAACCACGTAACGTAAGAAAGACCACCCCATTTTACAGGCAAGGAAACGGAGGCTATGCAGGTTTCAGTTGCTGCTCAAGGGGACACCAGGGCAGGGCAGGGACGTCTGGCTTAAGACCAACACTCAGTGGTCTAGATCACAACTGAATAGTTTGTCAACACTCACTGAATGATACACTAAAGCTTGGTGGACTTTATTATATGTAAATTATACCTCAATAAAGCAGATTTAGAACAACAACAACACCGCAGAGAGTGGCCCTGTGTTGTTTCTACCTTCCCAGCCTCCACTCCATCTTTGTGGTTTTGCTTTGAGGGCCGTCTCCTTCCTTTCTCTCAGGTGACAGGGGTTCAAAAGGAGCTGGTCCTACTTCCCAGCTCCAGGGCTGGCCATGTGACCTTGGTTTAGCCAATCAGTGAACCACTTTCCTCTGACCCCTGGCTGGGGTGGTCAGAGGATGGTCCAAGGAGACAACAGGGAGGCACACAGCCCCACAGAGACCAAAAAGAGAGCTACACCACAGATTTATATAAAAGGAAAAAAAAAGAACAGCTCTTTCTGTCGGGGCTGCTTAGCTGGGTCAGTAAACCCTGGGGCTGCTGATGGCCATCTTGCCTCACCAGAGTCCCTGGTGAGGGCCTTCCCTGGGATGAAGCTGACACGAAGGAAAGCAGAGACGAGAGATGGAGACGGGCAGCTTCCTGATGGCACTGAATACCCAGATCCAGCCATGCCTGAAGGCAGAACTACTCCCAGACTTTCCAGTGACATCAGCCAATTCTCTTTTCTTTTCCTTAAACGCTTAAGTTGGGTTTTCTGTCTCTTATAACCAAAGACTCCTAATATACCATGATGCCTTTTAAGAAAGGCCCGTGCCCCATAGTAAAGGGAGGAAAGAGGAAGCTACATAAATACAAGAAGGCTTCTGGGAACATGATCAGGCTTTATACCCACTGTCTCCTTTAAATCTCACTCTCGTGTTGCAGATGAGAACACTGAGGCACCGTGCGGTTGTGGTTAAATAGCTAACCTAAGGATACACTCTGAGCACACTGGTGTCTGGCCTCCAAAGCCCTCATCCTTACCTAAACAATAGTGATTTGTTTTTTGCAAGTTTCTGTCTTTAGCAGCAGAATCCGCTTATTATTGGAATCACACAGAAAACCCTTAACATACGAAAACCAATCAAGCGGGTGCTGCTGTGACCACGTGGAGGACAGGGACCCCGGAGCTGGGCCCACCCTTGTGAGCCCCCAGTCACCCTATGCAGACCTTTCAGCAAACCACCTGGTCTCGAGGAAGCAGAACCCTCAGACTGACTTGCAGGTGTCTAGAATCTGGGGCACTTTTCATGGGACATGCACATTGTTAGCTCATAGTCACAGATCAATGGTGACACAAAACGCACATCGAGCACCCACCCTCCCAGTGCTGTGTGAGTCAGCAGAGCACTGTCCCGTGTCCCTGGCCCCCTGCCGTGACTCAGGGCGGCCAACTCACTCAGATCCAAGACGTCATCGGTTTTGATCAGGTCCTCCTCCCGAGTGAGCGGCAACTGGGTCTCGGGCTCCCCTCGCAGCTGCAGCGACAGGGAGCGCAACATGAAGAACACCCGGATGGCCTAGACCAACAGTCGGAGAGCAGAGAAGAGTGAAATTGCAGAGTCGTTTCAGTGAGGTGCTCCATATCAAGAAATTACACAACGACTCTCGATTTCAAATAACGACACAAACACACCGCTACCTCTTCTATAATAGTCCTGTGGTTTTAGAGCGAGACAAAATAATCAGAGGGGAACAGCGTGTTTTCGGTTATCCACAGGTTCAAGTTTGGGTCACTTTATCTGATCCAAGCACCTGTCATCTGCCAGGATCTTGTCCCCAAATGTCAGGGGACCTTCATAACACCCTTGCCCAGCAATCAGCCCCATTTCACAGACCAGGCAACAGAGACCTAAACAGGTGAAGCGAACTGCTCAAGGCCATGCTTCCAGGGAGGGCTAGAACCCAGGTCTGTTCCAACTGAACCAGCACAGACTGTGGAAATCCAAATCACTAAAGTGTTTCCAGGTCCTTGAATGTGGGGGTGGGGGGAGGATAGACAGAAGAGGGTGTGATGGCTGTGGGCTTCAGAGCCAGAGAGACCCGAGGAAAGTCCTACCTCTAGGTGAATTTTGTCACCCCTCAGCCCCGTGGCCTTATGACAGGGAGTGTGTTGCTGACGGGGCAGAGGCCTGGCACCTGGCAGGTGGCAGTGACCTCAGTCCCCCAGATGCTCCTTAGGCTTTCCCAGCCAGCAGACTGGGGACAGAGGTGGCTCTGTCAGCACAGGGGTTCCTGGCCCATGGAACAGGTGTCTGGTCAGAATTATGTGACCACCAGGCCTTTCCAGAGAACAGAAAAAAAGCAGATTCCCCAGAAGCCAGAGAAGTGTGTGCGGAAAGCAGCCTTCAGCCCCGGAACAGGCTTGCTGACCAAGCAGAGCAGGAAGCAGAGGGGCAGTTCCATGAGAGGGCACCTCCAGGCCTTCCTCCCTGCTGCGCAGCTGACGGGCCTGACGGAGGGGGGAGTGCCCGGGGGAAACGGCTCCGGGGTCAGCTGGACACGGTCTGCACTGGACTCCCAGCTCTGCTGCGCCGGCCAAGCCCCTAACTCCCGTGAGCTTCATTCTCCTCATCTGTGAAGTGGGCACGATGATGCCTAACTCTCAGGGCAGCTAGGAGGTTCTGAGAGAACGCTGGAGGGAAGCAGCCAGCACTGTGCTCCACGGAGGGGCGGCCATCCAGGCACTCGACGAGCACCACACTGGGCACAAACCACCGTCACCACTGGTGAGCCGAGCACAGGTGAATTCCAGTACACTTTTGGGTCTTGTTCACAGCTCTGAGGGCTCCAGTCCAGGCCTACATGAGGGGAGGGGCCCCTTATACAGCAGGTGCCTCCCCAAACAGGAAAGGGGACAAATTACCGCCTGTAAAGAGCTGCTCCGCCCTCTACTCAGGAATAGGATGCTGACAAGCACGTCTGAGCCCTGACCCTGCCTTGGTCCCATCTCCTACTGTAGAAACTGGAGGAGCAATCCTACCTCCTGGGCCTATTCTGGGGTAATGGAGTCCTCTTTGTAAACTAGAAAGCACTAGAGAAAGGCAAGCTTTTTATATTATAATGATGGTGATAACAGGATGATAGTGGTGGTGGAAGCAGAATTAGTATCTGATCTGATTTTTTTTTAAGAGATGCTCTGTCACCCAGGCTGCAGTGTGGTGGCATCATAAAAGCTCACTGTAGCCTCCAATTCCTAGGCTCAACTGATCCTCCCACCTCAGCCTCCCAAGTAGCTGGGACTACAGGTGTACACCACCACACCTGGCTAATTTCTTAATTTTTTGTAGAGACGGGGTCTCCATATGTTGCCCAGGCTGGTCTTGAACTGGTCTCAAGTGATCCTCTCAAAGTGCTGGAATTACAGGTGTGAGCCACCCATACCTAGCTGTGATTATTCTTAACAGTTTTTAAAAGTACAGTCCTCATAAGGACATCTGTAACAATAAGAAAAAGAGGTGTAGTTCCATTTAAAAAAGGCAAAAGAGCTTCTATTTATTAAGCACCTATTGTGTGCCAGGAACTGTGGGCACCTCATTGCAACTTTAAGATTTTTGGGGGGAAGAAACGGAGCTGAGAGGGGCAGAACAATCTCAGTCCACACAGCCGGTAAGTGGCTGAGCTGGAGTTTGAACTCAGGAATGTCTGATACTTGTGACACTTAACCAAGTGTACCAGGAAATTTAAACATCTGTGCCAGCCCAAGTGCAGGAAGCCCAAAACATGGGTGGGCACTTGAAATATCTGGCAAATAAGGAGTCATGACCTCAGGGATGATGGAAAGAAAAGAAAAAGGCCCATCCTGGTCAGGTTCAAGTTGAAGGGGTGCTTCCTTTCTGCGTCAAAACCCCCATTCCTCTCGGGGCTCTCAAGGCAAAGAACTCAAGCAGGACCACAGCTGATGGGTGAGAAAATAGAAACGTGTGTGGCTTTCTACAGCCCATCACTCTGAAAACCTGAAACCTTCCAATAAATGAAAAAGGGAGGTCAGAATTGGGCTCCTAATATAGGGCTTTTTGGTAAAACATCTGCTTTTGCTCTGCAAACAATAAATGGATACAAAAAAATCAAAAGTATAAAACATATATAGCCAGCACTCTGCATCCACGTGTTCCACATTCGTGGATTCAACCAACTGCAGATTGAAAATACTTAAAACAAAAAAAAAAGGATGGCTATGTCTGTACTAAACATGTACAGACTTTTTTTCTGGTCATTATTCCCTAAACAATACAGTAAATCACTACTCACATAGCACTTGCAGTGTATTAGGTATTAAAAGCAACCTAGGGAGGACTTAAGGTATAAGGGAGGATGTGTGTAGGTTATATGTAAATACTATGCCACGTTATATAAGGGACTCAAATATCTGGATTTTGGTATTCTTGGGGGGTTCTAGAACCAATCCCACACAGATGTGGGGGAATGACTATATAATAAAATCCTGCAAGACTTTTCCTGGCTCCTGCTCCAACTCCTAGGAGAAGGAAGAGCACACGAGAGGCTCATGCCCGTGATCACGGGGAGAGCTGATCCCCACAGGACAAGGTGCCCCACTTGGGTGAAAGCTGGGCTCCCGCAGGGGGCTACAATGGTCTGGCAGGCACGTTGACCAGCCCCACAACTCCATGAATCCACAAAAGAAAGCTAAAATACAAGGATAGGAGTCATAAAATTCATCCCACCACCTGCCTAAACAATGACCACTCCCTCTGATCACCCATGGCCTGCCGGGTACAGTGTCATCTCATTCAAGCCTCTTAATGACCCTGTGAGGTCCCCACTTTAGAGGGGGAAACCAAAGCCCTGGGAGACAGGCAGCCTGCCCAAGGTCATTCAATGAGTAACTGGATTCCAAACTGTTCTTCTAATCACATGCCTTGGCCTTTGGAAGATTTAAGGGTTGGGACCCAGGGTTTTATAAAGTGCTCTTCTTTTCTTTATTAAATAAAGATGCAAACGTAAAGGTATTACTAAAAAGGAAAAAGAAATTATTATTCTTTCAGATTCTTCCATAGAACACCAGGAAGACTGACCCTGGAAGAACAGATTAGATTTTGAACTGTGTGACAGCTGACCAAGCTCAAATATAAAGAGGCTTCTCCAGTCTCTTTGCTTCAATGCGTCTGGGAGCAAACTCTGGCAAACTCAGTGTCCCCCGAGAATCAGTCCAATGAGTAGAGCAGGAGGAGGGCTCTGCAGTCAGACAGACTGTGGCTCAGCTGGGGCGCAGGTGAGTACGTGAATTCCTTGAGCCCAGGCTTGTGCTCCGGAAATGGGGTGCCCACAGGGTACCCACCATGCAGGTGCAATGAGATGGCACAGGTGATGCCCTGAGCCGTGGGCTGGCCCTTGGACAACCTCCTGCTTCCTTGCCGCGTCTGCAAGCTCGGTTTAGGCGATAGTCACTCAGGTTAGAAGTCCACTAAGACTGTGGAGAAATGGCTGTGAAAGTCAGTCATCTTAAAAGAGGGCTGAAGCAGATTAACATGGGCACAACCCACTGGGAAAGCCATCTGGCAATGAGTAGAGAGTCGCACACACAAAAAAACGTTCATACCCTTTGAACCAGAAATTCCGCTTCTGGGAACTTATCCTAAAGAAATAATTCAAAAGAAAGAAAACACTGTATTCATGAAGCTGCTCATTATAGTTTAGTCGAAAATAATGTAATACTGCAAGCAACCAAAATATCTACTAGGAGGAAAATGGCAGATAAACCTTTCTGCAGCCATAAGAAATCAGACTTATTAAAACTACATCACAACATGAAAAACTTCTTGTGCTACAATGAAAAGAGAAAAAAAGGAGGAGAGATGAAAGCAAGACCACGGTACACTCTTTGCAACCACGAAAAGATGTGTTTGCAAACTAGGATAGGGAGGAGACACAAAAGATGTCTCAGTGTTTTTTGTTTAGAGTGATGAAATCATGGGAAATTCTTTTCCCTTTACTTCTGAAGTTTTATGAGATGTTATTGTATTTTCTGTAATGTGTAATACACATTCAAAAAGTAAAGCAAAATATCCTATTTCCTCAAGGTCAATTGCAATAAACACAAAAACTGTGGTTTTACAAGGGAACAGGGAAACAGAACGCAGGGACAAATAAAACCTCATACAAATACACTTATTTCATAATGTCTTCCGAGATTACTATATAAAGATGGCTAGTGGCTTAAATGTGGATTTTGATATTTACCAAAAAATCCTATCCCTAACTCTCTTTTCTCTAGCATTAAGCTTCAGTAGATTTAAATCATTAAAGACTCTATTTCCAGCCAGGCGCCTGTAATCCTAGCAATCTGGGAGGCCAAGGTGGGCGGATTGCTTGAGGCCAGGAGTTCGAGACCAGCCTGAGCAAGAGTGAGACCCCGTTTCTACTAAAAATAGAAAAATTAGCCGGGCATGGTGGCTGCACCTGTAGTCCCAGCTACGTGGGAGGCTGAGGCAGGAGGATCACTTGAGCCCAGGAGTTTGAGGTTGCTGTGCGCTATGTGATGACACCACTGCACTCTAGCCCAGGCAACAGAGTGAGACTCTATCTCAAAAAAAAAAAGGGCCTATTTCTTTCCCACCTAAGATGCTAGAATGCTCCACTACTATTCAGCCAACACTTCCCGAGCGCTTACTATCATCACTGGGCTCGTCACTTCACAGCTGCTCTCCCATCTACTTTGGGCAACAGCTGAGAGGTAAGACAAGGAACCTGAGGCTCAAGGAGGCGAAATAACTTGCTCAAGGTCAGTAACTAGGTTGGGGTTTGGCCTGAGGTTGGTCTGACTCACGAACCTGTGTTCTTTCTTTACCACTTCTCTCAACTGCACCTACAGGTGGGGTGAGCCCAGCCCAAGTCCAAAGTTCTGCTTGAAGGTTCTCATTGGACCCCATAGCTCCAGTGACCTTCATTTCAACATGAACCTCCCGTCTCAGCTGGCATGGCTCAGCGGCACCCTTGATATTTTGGTCTCATTTTATATTATTTGTTCACTGTTCTGTCCTTCATCTTGCACAGTGCCTGGCACCTAGAAAATGCCCAGCAAATACGTCAGACGAAAGAATAAACGGTGTACTTTACACAATGCAAGAGGGGAAGCAACTTTATGTGGAGATGCCTCCCCATGGCCTGCAAAGCGCTGCCACACTCCTCCCCTTCCCTGCCCCCTCCTCCCCTGCACTCGCTCTGCTCCACGAACACACCGCACTCCGTGGCACCTCAGGGACTTGGCACATGCTGTTGCCCACCTGGAAAGTGCCTCCTTTAACTCTTCAACTTTTCTGGCTCCTTCTCATCCTCCGGCTTTCAGCTCGGATGTCCGCTCTGCAGAGTAGCTCGTACTGATCACTTGTCTATAGGAGGACCCTCCCTCCCCCACGCCCCACCAAGCCCTGGCCACAGCACTTCATTTCTTTCCTCCTGAGTCTTGGCTGCAGCCTGATTTCAAACCTGCTACGCCCTTACTTGCTAATAAACTTTACCTCTCTATGAGGCAGCAGCGGGGGAGAGGGGTGGGGGTCCAGAGAGCAGGGACATGTACCCTCGTCACTTCTGCACCCCCAGGCTCAGCACAGCATTTGGCACATAGCGGGGATCCAGCAGCTCCTTGACGAACGTATGAACAAGTGTGTTCTAAGTTAGGAATGATCTACCAGTTAGGACAGTCTGAACTTCTTTGACAAGTCCTTAAGGAAAATAAAGGGTGAGATTTCTCAAAAGTACCGGCTTCCTAAAACTTAAAAAAGTCTACTTGGTGGGGGGAGGGGGGAAGGAAAGAAAGAAAACCTTTGAATCCAAAGGGATAAAATGGAATGTTCTTTGGATACAAGCAAAAAACTTGAAACAAACCACATAAGCCTTCAATCGTTTGCTAAACCATATAACTTCCTTTAGCTCAAATTCAAAGCACACTGTTGTGCTCTGATTTCTGAACTGGGCTTGAGTAGTGAAACTTCCGGATGATTCTAGACAGTTGCCTTGCAACAGAAACTGGCCTGGGGTGAAAGGCCGAAACTCCCCTTCAGAAATCAATTCTTGAAGTCACAAAAGGAAGCTTTTGTAAAGTAGATGACTTTGTTTTGAGGTGGCCTGCCTTATTTTCTACCATTCTGCACAGGGACCCTGGAATTTGAGAGTTACTTCTATAAACCGGTCAGACAGCCGAAGGCCTAGTAAGAAACCCCAGGGAAGTCCAGACGTTGCAGGGGCTCTGTTTGTGCTCCAGTAGCCGTTTGGGCTGTGCATGCAGCCGGGGCAAGGGAGGCGGGCAGCACAGCCTTGGGAACCCACCTGCGTGAGCTGTGAGGGGCGAAGGGAGGAAGAGACCACTGTCATCAAGGACCTACTATCAGCCTGTTGTGGTCAGGCCTTCCGCTGAGTCCTTAGATAACTCCGGAAAGGTGAGAGTATCCCACTTGACAGATGACGAGATGGTGGCTCAGAGTGGACAAGTGCCACATGCCTGATAGTCTCACCCCCGCACTTCTCTCATTTCCCACCTGTGGATCAGGACCATCTGCCCTAACCCAGCAGGCACCATGTCATGAAACAGTGTTAAGAGTTGATGGCCAAGGTCCTCACCGGGCTCCAAGGCCCCAGTGCTCTGGCTCCAGCCAACCCCTCCAGCCTCATCACAGCCCACTCTGGGTCCTAGCTGTGGTTACCTCCTTGGAGGCGCCAGAATGTGCCACATCTCTCTGGGCCTGTGCCTCCCCCTAGCTGCCCAGCCCACTCCCACAGTCTCGGCTTAAGGACCATCCCCTCTGCTGCTTATCCCACCTCCCTTCCCAGGTGGGATTAGGAAACCTAACCTAATGCTGCTTGAGTGACAGCTCTGGCCACATGGCCTGCTGCTGCCTTTTCCCACCTTGCCCTCTGGACTCTGATTCCTTGAGGATTGGGGCTGTGTTTTTGATGTCCCCGTGTCCAGCCTGAGTATGGCTAATAGCTGTGATGAAGGCAGCAGCAGGAAGCAGTGGTGTCACGGTGGGGAAGCTGCAGCCTTCTGATTCCAAGACTGTTCTTTCTTAAGCACCAAAGAAGCCAAGAAAAGCTTCATCTTTCTCTGCCACACCCCTTTTAATAAAAGGATTTGTTCTGTAAAATTTGGATTCAGTCAAAAGGCTGCACGCAAGGATCCAGAAGGCCACATGTGGCCCCAAGGCCACAGGTTCCCTGCCCCTGTATGCTTGACCTCTTCGCGTCTCAATTTCTTCCTCTGTAAAATGGGGACAATGATAGTGCCAATCTCCTAGGGTGGTTATAGAATTAAATGAGAAAATCCACTTAAAGAACTGACATGAACGATCCACTTCATAACAAAGGCTACGTGTTCGCAAAAGTAGTAAGAAAAACCCTGATGAACCGTGGACCCAAAGAAGGCAGAGTGCAGCCCAGAGCAACAGCATCGGTGCTCAGGCCTCTGGCCCTTGTGGCTCAGGGGCCAGGGGGACCTCTAAGGCAGGGTGCTCTTGGCATGGGGACACTACGTCTTGCCTGGGGCACATTTCTCAGGCCAACCAAAGGCTAAGGGTGAACGGGCCAGTGTCAAAGAGCTGCCGGCATGATACGTATTTGTCAGAACCATTCTTCCAGTGAAAGCTGATGCCGAGGACACCCAGTGCAAACACTGCCACCCACACACAAAATCGTGCGCCTGGCCAGCAGGGCTGCAGCGCTGGCCAGGAGCAATGCAAGGAAGGCGTCAGTGGCTCGGACAGGGTGGGTCCTGTGGTGAGGTCTGTGGGCTTGGTCAGACAGCTGGGAATGTGACTGACTCGAGACACATGGCTCCTGCTTCCTCTGCACGCCCAGGCCTCTGAGGCAAACTCGAGGGCTGCTGGAGGGAAGTCGCAGACCTCTCTTGTCTGAGGTGCACGCAGCAGGTCACTCCTGCTTTGCACAATCCAAAAGTGAAACACCTCTGCCGCTCTGGTCAGACACGGATTAACTCAGAAGACTCAGAAGGCCGATAATGCCAGCATGCAATGAATTCCTCTAAATTATCCACTAATGTTCATGTCTCCAGGGAATGATTTTCTAGGAAAAGGTTATGGTGCTTTCTAAGAAAGAAACTGTGATCTTACGTGGGAGATAAAATACCATGAACAGCCCTGCCGAGACTGCTTCCTAGAGCTCCTGCTTCAGAAAAAAAGTGCTGATAACGGAAGCACACACTCCAGCTGCTTCTGAGAACTAATCTGCTCCCCACATACGTCCCTCCCGCAGCCCGGCGAGAATCACCTTTCGTTTGCGTGTGCCTAGACCCGAGATCAGCTAGATACTTTCACATCACACCATCTCTGGGAGTTCTGAGATCTCTGGGCTAAGATTTCGCCCCAGCCTCATCTGCACTGGATGTACCACACTCCCCACCCCCCACTCCCTGAGCTCAGGGCTCGGGGCTGTGCTCTGCACCGGGTTAGACGACCTGCCTGCAGCCGACACCCAGTGCCACGTGTAATGGAATTCCAATCCTCACTATCCAAAGGACAACTGCCTTGGAAAGTCACACCTGGAAGCAGGTGTGCAGAGAGGTGCTCTCCACCTGCTATCAAAGCTGTGTTCGAGGCGGGCTCTTGACTCTGACCCAGAGACCCTGTGCTCCCTGGCCTGGGAGTAGTTCTGGTGAAGGGCTGCTCAGGAGGGGACAAGTTCAGCACTCACTCACCCGCCGGGTCTTCTCCACGTCGCCACACGGCAGCCGCTTCACGAAGTCAATGCCCGTTAGCGGCGTGCCTGTTGGAGGAAGCAGGATGGAGGCGTCCATCATGAGATATTCCACATTCATGGGCTTCATCTACAAGAGACATCACAGGAAACCTCAAAGCAGGTCCCTCACCTGGGGGAGGAAGGGGCTGGGGCAGGTTACACAGGCCTCCGGCCTCCACTTGCACTTGCATAGTAAATGAGCGATGTCAACCCTGGGAGTAGACTGAGGTAGAGCCTGAAGGCAGCCAGGGAGGCGAGCAACATGCCGAGTTTTCTAGCTACACATTTTTCCTCTACTTGAAGCAACAGCCCAGACGCTCTTGAGCAGCTGCTTCCTTACTATGGAAACCTTTGCTCTCTCGCCCTCGCCCTCCCCTCCAGCGCAGCAGGACAGGGGTTCCCACGAAGGAGGCAGGGCCCTTGAGGGTGGCTTATTCCTATGGGCGTGAGCCTCCTTCCCTTGGTCCTTCCAGGGATGATGACAACGGCTGCAGTGATGGCAGCTTCTGTCCAGTGAGCACCGACCACGGGGCAGGCCGTGACCTAAAGGCTTTGGAGGGGATGTTTCCCACTGTGCTGATGAGAGAACGGAGTCTCGGAGAAGCGGAAGAATGGATCTGGGGCCATTCTGCTGACTGGGACCCAGGCCTGCCTTGCTCCAGGGCCCTGGATTCCCACCCCAGGACCAACGCTCCCCCTTCCTTCCCCGTCCACTTCACACCTCATCTGGGACAACAGAACAGAGTCATTTACGGAGCATCTACTAAGTGCCAGGCCCCTGCTGGGCTCACCTCCTGCTGGGTGGCAGGTGCTGGTGCCTGTATCACAGTGGGGCACACTGAGCTCAGAGGAGGAACAGGGGCAGAGCTGTTGGCCTCCTTCCACACCACCTCCACGAAGCCTCCTTGGATTACTAAGACACAGGGTAACAGCAGCCCGCTTCCCCTCCCAGAAATCTGCTGCATCAGCACTGACCACTTAATGCACGCGTGCTGTTGAACACTAACACTCATTTACCTGGCATCGTAAAGGAATGCCGCGTCACAAAGTTACGTTTTCTACAGAATCAATTTTACTCTTTCAAGCACCACAAGCTTTCTTTTTGTCTTCTCTTTTCAGAAGAGCTTCAAACATGACATTCCCCACGCCCCCTTCCTGCCATATACAGCTGACTAAACAGGGCAAGGATGAAGTGAGGCCAGCTGTCCACTCAGTGCTGTGGGTTCGATGTGTCCTCTAGAGTTCATGCGTTGGAAACTTAATCCCCAAGGCAACAGTGTCAAGAGGCAGGGCCAACAAGAGGTGATTAGGTCCGGAGGGCTCTGCCTTCATGAATGGCAGAACGCCGCCATTGCCGGAGTAGGCTCATTATTTCAAGAGTGGGTTTGTGCCAGTTTGGCCCCCTCTGATCTCTCTTGCCCTTTCACCTTCCACCATGGGCTGGTAGAGCAAGAGGGCCCTCGCCAGATGCTGGTGCCTTGATATTAGACTTCTCAGTCTTCAGAAGTATTAATGTAAGAAAATTTTATTTTCTTTAAAGGTTACCCAGTCTGGGATATTCTGTCAGAGCAGCACGAAATGGACTAAGACACACAGTGAACAGGCTGGGGGCCAAGGAGCCACTCAGTGCATGCTGCCTGCCTTTTCTTTTGGAAAGAAGCATTTACTTCCAGAAGCCTGAGGTCCCCCACCCCAAATCCCTTTGCCCCAGCTGGGTAGCGGAGCATGTTCCACCGCCATCCGTGGCAGCAGCACCTCTCCGGCCTGCCTCCTGCCCTCTCACAGCTCCTCTCGCTGTCTCTGCAGCTGACCGGCTGACCGTCCCGGGAGCCCCCTCGAGCCTGCCGAGGGCAGAGCTAGACTGCCGGCCCAGGACTCCTTTTTCGTTAAGCCAGGGGCAGTGAGGAAAACGAGGGAAGGATCGCAAGTCGCGGCCTGCCTTTACTGCAGTGGCCTCCGCTCAGTAGCACGCAGGGGCCGGCCCCCACCTCGGTCCACTCAGGCCGGCTTCCTGAATGGAGGCTGAGCTGAGGACTGACTTCCAGATACAGGGCCAGGGGTGTGTCGCGTTGAATTTCTCTAGAATGCCTGGCATTGTGCAGGACACACAATAAACATTTGGTTAAAACAAAGAAACAAAACCCAGGAAGCTCCCTGGGGTGGGCGGCAGAGGAAGCGAGTGTTTGTGGCACACGGACTCTCCACGAGGCATCCTGCTGGGTATCCACATCCAGCCCAGGCAGCTCCTGGTACGGGCCCATCTCACAGGGGAAAAAAAAAAAATCAAGGCTCAGAACTTAAGCAACCCGCACGAGGTTGCATGGTGAGCACAAAAGCGGACACTGCGCAGGAGTTTAAGAGCCCGAGTTTTCCCATGTTGTCCAGTGACACAGGAGCCTTACATTCCCAAACAGGAAACCAACCTGTGGACAGTTACATCGCATGAGGGGCCATCACGGGGTAAAATGGAAAGTGACCACTGAATCCACTCCACTTTAATTAATGGTCAAAGAGTAGAGGACTGTGCCCCTCTCTAAGGGGCAGGAGGGTGTGGATCTCAACAGGAGCGAGGGCCGGGGCCCGCAGCCCGCGACTCACACACAGGCCTGGGCACTGGGCGCTGCTGGGGCATTTCTGGAGAGCAATTATGCCGATTCACACTTTTCCCTTGAAAAGCCTCCATAGGGGCCTCAGACATGCACTGACTGAGGATGTGGCGAGGGCCCAGCTGCCCAGATGCCCAGGGAGAGGGTTAGGAAGCCGGAGAGCTACTTAGCGCACACCACCTGCCTTCTTCTTTTTGGGACTTTAAACACTTAGGTGTATTGTAAACATCCGGAATCACTTCACGCTTCGGTGGGTAATATCCACAAAAAGAGTCATTTATCACCTATGTATGGAACACCTAGTCACAGGCAGGCGCTGGGGATGTAGAGACAGACGAGCAAAGCAGAGGGAGCTGTCGCTTCCCACACCTCTGCCTGCTGGAAGGAAGGCAAAGCCCCTGCACTGGGGCTACGGATTTGAGGAAGAGCTCCACGCTGGAACATTCTGGTGAAGCGGCAAGGGAGGTAGCAGCAGCAGGACATCTGGAGAAGCACAGGGGACTGCTCTACTTTGGAAGCCTGGCTCTGCCACTCACTGGCCAGGGAGATTTGGGGACATCACTTGACCTCTCTGACTCTCGATTTCCTCATTGGCAAAATGGGGACAATGACAGGGAACAATAGTTCCCACTGGCTGATGTGAGGATGAAGAGATTTCATATATGCAACATGCTGTACCCACCTGGCATGGCATGGCATGGAATAAGTCCCTAATAAAAAAGACACTCCCCAATACTATTCATATCAAAGTGACTCTTTCTGACTCATGTTACTGAAGTGGCTCAGTTTAGGGGCAGTGACTAGAATCTGAAAATCAAAAGGCACATTTAAAATTTTCTTCCCCATCAGTCTTTGCCATCTGGTCAGAAAGCCCCAAGTCAGGGACGTAGGCTCATGCCAGCTCAAGTGTGTCCCCGACCCTCACTCACTGTCATGCTCCTGTACTCATCTTCAAACATGTCCAGAAAGATTTCTTCTCCCTAAAAAGAAAGGGAGGGAAGAGAAGATTATTCATATTTTTTTCCATAAACAACAGAGTATTATAAACTCCAGTTCGCGGCTTTTGAGGCCATCTGTTTCTCATTAGTGAGTTCTCGTAAATCACCAGGAAGTAAAATACACACGTGAACATGAACACACACGCTCAAATGACAGAGCAAATATCAAATTGCACTACTCAACACTTTCCTCCTCCTTTTTCAAGCATACGGAGTTAGAGTTCCTCTGTCAAAGCAGTTAATTAAAAAACAACGAAAGTAACACTATATATCCTTAAAATATAGGAAAGGTTAATATTTCAAGTGTTTAGCATTCATGGAGAATGCTTGGAGAAATGGAAAATCCTGGTTAAGTCGCCATGGTAGAAAATATGAGGCTCCACACCTCTGAAAGGAAGAGTATAATTAAATCAACTTAACACTAAAACTCTATGGCTTGTTCCATTTGGGTTTTTTTTTTTTTCTTGGTGCATCTCACAGATGTAGTATTCATGCCATAAAGCAAACCATTTATACAAGTGTACAGTGACCTTCCACACTGCCATGTGACAGAGCTGGCTTACATGTACAGGCAGACTGATGCTTCCTTGCTTGCGTACTCCAAGTCAGACTACTTAGTGGTGACGAGAGCAGGCACAGCAGTTTCAAAGCTTTACTTCTTTTGTCGGCACTCCCGGTTTTATAAACAATTGTGATCATCAACCCCATTCCTACCCAAATCTCTTGGTAACCCTGGGTACAGCAGGGCTTCAGGGGGATCCACACATTTCTAACAATGCTTGGAAGCATCTCGGCATAGGATCAACAGCTCAGGCTGTGCCAGAGCCCCACAAGCCAAAAAATCAGAAACCATCTGTTTCTCGAAGAGGGCCTTTGGGGTTCTATAGTTCCGTAGGGTCGTGGTTGCCCAGGAAGCCCCCTTCGCGACAGGGCGAGAACATGGCTCTGAGATATATCAACCAGGAGCTAGATCCCAGCTTTTCCTCTCGAAGCCCCTTTGTTCTGCTGCAAGAATGGGATGGCAGCCCCCGTCTGTGTGGGTCACTGTGGAGGTGACGTGAGTCTCAAGGCACATAAAACGCAGAGCACAGAGCCTGTCCCTGAGTCGGGCTGGGTAAATGTTTACACTCATTGTCATTACAACAGTGTCTGTTACAGCTGTCCTGTCTCTCTCGCAGGTCCTGAACTCCCCCCAACCCCCACCACACACACACAC